ACCACAACAGATGATAACTCGATCACAAAGAATTTCACCTATTCAAGAATTACCAACAACTTATTCTCCAAGTCTACCTCCGTCGCCTGAGCCAGTTTCACCGGTTGTTGAGGAACCTTCTCCAATAGAGAATACGAATATTACTTCGCCACAACTTCAACAAACCCCAGATGTTCCAACTCCAGTTACTTTACCACCTCCTGCAGCTCCTGTATTACCGAGAAGAAGTTCACGAACCACAAAACAACCCGACCGATTTACACCTTCAGCTTTCGTTCTTGATACTTATTCACCTGAGCCGAAATCCTACAGGAAAGCAATTGATAGTGAAGAAGCCTCAGAATGGGAGAAAGCTGCTAGAACTGAAATCGATACTCTTCTCAAATTAGGAACCTGGAAGTTGGTACCTAGACCTTCTAATACTCGTGTATTACGATCAATGTGGGTATTTAAACGAAAAATGCTACCTTCAGGAGAAATCGACAAGTATAAAGGAAGACTCGTTGTGTTGGGAAATGGCCAAGTTGCTGGTGTAGATTTCAATGAAGTATTTTCTCCTGCATCTAGACAAGAGTCAAACCGTGTGTTGTTAACTGTTGCTGGTGTGAAGAAGTGGAAGGTAAAGGGTTTTGACATTACTGCTGCGTTTTTGCACGGTAATCCTTTAGAAGAGGATGTTTACATGGAACAGCCTGAAGGATTTCGAGACAATAAATTTCCAAACTACGTATGTAAATTAATTTTGCCATTATATGGTTTGCATCAATCTGCACGTCATTGGAATCTTTGATTTACCAATTCATTGATCAAGCTGGGTTTAAAACAATCAGCTCATGATCCTACACTATTTTTCAAATTAGAACGAAATGAATTGAAAGGATTGATTACAATACACATTGATGATATATCGGTTACCGGCGATGACGATTTCTTATCTTCAATTTCTTCTTCACTTCATTCTGAATTCCCAATTTCTGCCGACACGGATCTTCAACATCATCTATCTATTTCTATTGATCGATCAAGAGACCTTCGCTATTTTACTTTACAACAAACATCATATATTCTCAAAATTACCAAACAATTCTTTAAAGAAGAACCGAATAAGGTCACTACTCCGTATGTGGCAGGCTTTAATACTCTTGTTCCAGCAATTGATTCGACATCATCAAATCCAAATTATGGTTCAATCATCGGGGCTTTATTATGGCTCGCTCAATGTACCCGTCCAGATATTGCTTTTGCTGTAAACCGTCTTTCTCAATTCCTGAAGAAGAATGACATGAATCATTGGAATGCAGCTTTACGAGTGTTAGCATACGCTTATCATACTCGTCACCTCGGTTTAACTCTGGGAGGTTACAACAATAATCTTGATGGTTTCACTGATTCAGACTGGGCAGAGAACTTACACGACCGTTCATCGACATCTGGTTATCTCTTTCGCCTTTCAAATGGACTCATTTCATGGAAATCAAGAAAACAAAAGACTACCGCACTATCAAGCACTGAGGCTGAATACATGGCTTTGAGTGATGCAGGCAGGGAGGCTATGTGGCTAAGGCAACTTCTTCAAGAAATTCATTTCATAAACAGTTCACCTACTATCATTCACTATGACAACACTGGTTCCGCTGCACTAGCAAATAATCCGGTACATCACTCTCGAAGCAAGCATATTGATTTACGTTATCACTTCATACGTCAACTAATTCAGAACAAACATGTTACTCTTAAACAAGTTAATACTTCTTTTCAACTTGCTGATTTTCTTACTAAAGCTCTTCCTCGTTCTACTTTTATCAATATTAGAGATCAATTAGGTTTAAAGGATACGTCTAGATAGAGACTTTTTAGCATGGGGGGGTGTTGGAGTTACGTTTGTGCTTTCAAAGTCTATGTGTAACAATGTTTTTCTCTTTTAGTGCATTTCATAATTGACATTACATCATTTGTACGAATGCGGTTTTATTACGTCATATACGTCATTGTTCATTTCACAACGATTGTTCATGCTTTTCTATTTAACCTGTGCTCCAACAACAGTCTAATGTTTTTCTTCATCTGACTGTTTCTTCAAAACCAAATCTTATTATAAGATTATTAGTGTTGTTTCTTTTTCTTTACTTATACTAAGATTTGTTTTTGTTTGGTTTCAGGTAATGAAAAGTTTGATCTGACTGTTTCTTCAAAACCAAATCTTATTATAAGATTATTAGCATTGTTTCTTTTTCTTTACTTATACTAAGATTTGTTTTTGTTTGGTTTCAGACCAACAATCACTGATCCTTTTGTTGTTGAAGGTTGTGTGTTTTGTCAGAAAAATGCTAGTATAGGTCACAGGATATATTTGGACTTTGTTTCATGGTATGTGTCTTGAACCCAAAGTGGGTGTTTACCAGCTGAACCAAAGTTATGTTAGATGTTTGATGAGTAGTAGTATGCCTCGTGAAGGGTGAGGGACTTGGTCAACACAAAGGGAAAGTCTGTTAAAAGTATGGGGTGATCTATAGAATTAGCAAGGGTGATATCAGGATTTGGCTGTATGAGATTTGAGCTTTGTCAATGGGAGAATTGATAGAGTTTTATGTGATCCGAAGTTGCACGAGGAGTGTGTCTTTCCTAAAGCTTTTAATTCCTCTATTCACAACCAGTATTAACAAGGACCCACCAATCCTATAGCTGTTGAGTTGTGTTCAACTCATTCATTTACATTTTGACCTTTCTTTCCAGTTTCAGAAACCATTCAAGAGTTTATGAAAAGAGGCCTAATGGAGTTGTATAAGCTTGGCCATACATCAGAAGGTCAATTGGTTTTCAAAAGGTTGAGTATTTTTGACTACAAATACTACTCAAGCCATTTTTTGATTTTTCTTCAAACACTCACTTCTTGATTTTATTTTGGTGGTTTTTAATTTTTTCAAAGGCAATAAAATTAGATAGTCTCAACAACGGTGGCACGGCTAAGCTAAGTTAGCGCTTAGCGGTGCATTAGCTTAGCGATTTTTTGTCGCTAAGCTAGCGCTAAATCCTTAGCGCACTCAAGCTCAGCTAATCGAATTTCGATTTTTCCTTTAGCGGGTCTGCGCTAAGCTAAGCCGGGAGCTTAGCTATCAAAAAAATACATATTTTAAGTGCAAAAAAGGGCCGCTAAGCCGCTATTAGCGGTTTAGCGGCCAATCAATTGGCTTAGCGGGTGTCATTTTACGCCCGCTAAGCTAATGGCTTAGCGTTAGCGGAAATCCGCTAAGATTAGCGTTAGCGGATTTTTCCTTAGCGGCCTCTAGCTAAGCTAAGCCAAGGTGGCAAAAATCCTTAGCTTAGCTTAGCGAGCCACCGTTGGTCTCAAACCCCTTGTGAGTTGTCTCTGCACAAAAGATTATAAACACATTTATGCTCTAAACCTCAAATTGTTTGATTATTTTCACTATATATGCACGACCCAAAATTTAATGTGGCACACTCTGCTTCAGGTACAAATCAAAGTGAGCAGGCAAGATTGGCAAATGTGCAAGTTGACAAATTTTCTGATTCATAAAGTACTAGAAATGAAGATGGATGGTGGGGTTCATCAGATGAAGAGAAAAGTAAAGACAGAGCCCCCAAAAAACCCTTTTCCCCAGTTGACACCTTTGTCTCTACCTACGTGCTCTGCACCTCCTCCACCTATACCTAGTACCCAGGCATGGTTTTATACTGCTTACCACCAGAAACACACAAATGGTAGGAATACTAGTACTTTTTTAGCGTTTTGTGACCAGGAAATATGAAGTTTATTTTTTTGCTCGTGCCAAATCCGATTGCAGTCAAGAAATCTCGTTTCGTGCCTACCCCTCCCCGCCTCTTGGCCTTCCGTGTTTCAACTGGATAACCGTGATTCCTAGGACAGGCTCATTCTGTTGCGAATGAATCTGAATTTGCGGGATGCGAGAAGACACAGGCTATGCAATCAAAACGACGTGACAATATCTGAATCGCCCCTGGTCAGCTTGGTTAGTCGCGTTGGACCCTTGAGACCCTTGATCCAGGGTATGACTGAGATAAAGTATCTATCCCTGTGCTCTCTTACACTGCAAATATAATGTGATTCTCCACGGTGAAAAATGATTACATTTAATTCAAAAAATGATTGAAAGTGCATTAAATCTACATTAAATCTGCATTTTTCTGCATTAAATCTGCATTATTAATTATTTTGTGCATTAAGTGCAATCATTTTTCACTGTGGAGAAACACATTATATTTGCAGTGTTAGAAGCCGAAGCAAGTTGAAAGATCAATATATAAGAATCACATCCAAAGCTTGACTCCCCGACAGAACAAATCCTTCAGTAGAATCATCTCAAGCAAAATGGCCTTGATGTCAACTCAGTCTTCACACATTCAACCCAGTTTATCATCTATGCCACTCGATGTCAAACGAATCATCGTTGATTGGGTTATTCAACTTGCTATAACTCATCGCAACTTTTATAACCAACCGCCCAATAAAATTCATGAGCATTTGGAAACTCGACGTCTCAAATCATTTGAAAGAGAAAGTGACCGTTAGTGGAATTGTTTATTCTCACTATTTGATCAAACTCATTATAATGCTCATTTTGGTCAACTTGACCAATTGCGATAATCATTGAGTTTTCTGATTCTGCTTCAAATACTGCAAGTATCTATGTACTGATAGTGTTTCGTATCTTTACTCTTTCACAGGGTTTCCCTTGCACGCCATTCGATCAATTGCTTCAGTTGATCGTTCATTCTATGAATTATGCTGTCCTTACCTTTTTGTAAGGGAAGAGTATGGAGTACGGACTAGTTACATATTGTGTATGGGTTTACAGAGTAGTTGTGTAGAACTTCTTATATAGAAGCTCCATCCTCTTTCCCTTTTGGGTTTTTCTCTTGAGGAACTCTTTCCTCCTTTTCTCTCTATTAGTTTCTTCTTATTGACTGTTTGGTGTTATAGGTATGACTTCCTCTTGGAGGAACTCTTTCCTCCTTTTCTCTCTATTAGTTTCTTCTTATTGACTGTTTGGTGTTATAGGCCTATTTTAGAAATCATACTCAGGTGTTACTTTCGACTGGCTTTGGCCTTGTGACTCACAAACTCAGTGAAGGTCACACCCAAGAGAGTGACCTTACACTTTTTTAAAGTACACCTCCGAGTTCGAAGACGTCGATCACCTCTCGAACTCAATCAAATACGCCACTATTCAATCAAACCTTAAGAAACTCAATTCAATTCAATTCAAAATTTTTCCGAACACTCGGATTCGATCTTTTTTTATCTTTCTTTCCTGTTTTAGCCTGACACCTGAACTCAAAACCTGTTACCCCGCACTATCAGAATCCTGTCACCTTCCTGTATCGCCTGATAACCTGTCTATGTCTGACAACCGCCTGGGATCTCATCGTACAACGCGTCAAAACCCCGGAGAACCTGTACCGCAAGTCGATAACCCAGAACGAATTATCTTTCCAGCTCGTGGAACTCCTGCGCCGTTGACCTGCACTCCTCTTCGACCCGCTTCGGCTCCACCAATCTTACCTTTAGTCGAGTCGAGGGGTTTGGCACCGCTGATAGTTCGACAGTGGGATTCCATCGTTAACCCACCGAATCCTCACGGCTATCCTGTCATCACGGCGAATTGGCCATTATCGTCTGACTCCGTCTTTTTGGATCAGTTATCTGACAATTCAAGTGCAATCGACAGGCGAATCATTCTCCCGAACGCTGACCTTCGTCACCCCCGGCGTAGTATCCCTGGTAACTTTGACCCGCACATCTCTTTCATCAGCTCAGGAGACGAGACCGTTCAGAATATGGCGAACCAGCAATCTACCTCTCAGCCTCCTGACATCGACGTGAGTGCTGAATTCGCTCGGATGAAGCTAGACAACGACGGTCTACGATCAGACAATGCAGGCCTCCGAAAAGAGATCAGTGAAGTACGGGGGTTGCTACAAAACTTCTTACGGAATCAACGACCTCCAGACGAAGACCGAGACCGTGAAGGCAACACTGCCTCTCAGGGCGAGACTTCTACTCAGCGACCAGCACCGCAGGTAGAGCGCGAGGTGACTCCTCAGATGTTCACTTCAACACCGGCAGTAGGAAGACAAAATCTTTTTCACGTACCACCTTCCTTGCCTTCGGTGGCCAATACTCCAGTCTCTACTATTCCAGTGGCTGCAGACCTCTCCAAGTTCCGCGCTACCGATTGGCCTCAGTATAAAGGCAAATTCGGTGATGTGGCCGCCTTTCGCATGTGGCAATACCAGATGGAAACGACTTTTCGTGTTAAACAAATCGAGCGCCCAGAAGATCGTTTTCGTATACTCCCGATGGTTTTAGCTAACGACCCAGCCTCATCTTGGTGTCGAAGATCAGAGCGTAACTTTGAAGGTAAATCGTGGGAAGCGGTGATGACTGAAATGCAGGGAGTGGTTCTACCGGTTGGATGGGATGAAGCGGCTAAAGAACGGTTACGTGAATTAGCCATGAAGGTGAACGAATCGGTGACAGCCTATTGCGGACGTGCCAGAACAATTCAAGAGGAGATTGGAATTGAGGAGTGTGATGATGAGACCTTGGCCAATGCGGTGGTAGGAGGTACGACAGGTACATTTAAGGCGTGGGTGAAGATGGAGCGAGTTGTGAAGAACAGTCGGGACCCAGTGACGAAAAGGTTCTCCTTCCCTATCTTCGAGGAGCGACTCGGGGCGATTTGGCTTCTCACTCAATCAATTGATGCCCGGAACGGGGGACGATCTCAATCAACAGTACATAACCTGACGACCTCTACGGGCGCTGCACCGAACGTTCAACCTAGATCTATGCAATTGACGACTCCGACAGCTCTGGCTGCCAACCAACCCTGTGCCAGCAACGCACCGCACCGCAGAAAGCGTGTTTTTTGGTGCGTTGCTCCGCAACACGCAACAAAGCCCAGCGGCAGACGCTGCGTTGCGGTAAGTACCGCAACAACAAAACGTTAGCCTGGGTTGCGTGGCGCGCTGACCGCCACGCAACGCAAAAGGCGCAACAGCGCCAAAAAACCGTCAAATTTCAAGTTTTTTTGGGCAGTGACGCAACAAATGTTGTTGCGGCCCAAAACAACTTGGAATTGGACACATCTTGTTGCGCAGCGGGTCAGGCCGCAACCTCAAAATGGATTTTACGGTGCGGTGCGGTCAGAAAAACCGCAACGCAAGCGCAGCGCAGCACGCAACACTTGCGTTGCTGGCCCAGGGTTGTGCCAACCGCCCTGCTTTATCTCCTGAGGAGGTTCAAGCTTGGAATGTTCGTTTTGGTGCTTACATGTGATCGATTGGACTCTGTCCGCGTTGCAAAACTTCGTGCAACAAATGGCTAGGGGGTTGCAATTCAAGACCTAGTGCTACCTTTTTCTCGGTCCCTATGGAGTTCCCACGAGCACCACCATACCCGCCCGCTAAAGGCACCAGCCCTTCATCGACAACTAAGCCCTCGACTTCGACGGGCATCTCAAGACCACCTCGTCGTGTGGATGTGGCAACCGTGGATGCGGGTAAGAGCTCGGTGGATGTTGCTGCGACTGGTGTCTTTCCTGACCTGGGGCGAGCGGATCTAGCCGCCTATGAGCAGATGCTCGATCAGTTAAATGGACCTTTGGAAGACGATCTTGTGGAGGCTGCTGAGTACGGTCCTTCTCCTGAACGTGCTATGTGTGGCAGGACTCTGATCATGAGTTGGTTTTTGAATGGGGTACCCCTTTGCGTTTTAATTGATACTGGAGCAGGGACGAACCTCCTCTCGGAACACGCGGTTGACAAACTTCACTTGATTCGACGACCCTTACCGGTACCAATCACGGTACGTCCAGCAATTCTTTCAGAACCGACACCCTTTGTCTTGAAAGAATTCGCCTTTGCTCACGTCAAGGCTCCTTTCCCCTCTTTTACGTTTGGCGCAACGGTTTTCAAGATAGCACCACTTGGGGGGGAATATGATGTAATCTTAGGGGCACCTTTTCTCTCTAAACATCGTCTCAATGTGTCCCTATCTCAACGCTTGTTGCGCAGTGAAAAGACCGGTTACGAATTTTTTGAACAGAATGTGATTGATGACAAAAGAAAAGCTGAAGAATTGAAACAGAAAAGAGATGTGTTAGTAAATACAGTTTTAAAAAATTTGGAAAAAGTTAATGAAGTACACGAGTTTAGTATGAGAGAAGTTGCTGTGCTGAAAGAGTTTGAGGACCTTTTTCCTGATGAGTTGCCAGCGTTAAATGAGGTGGATGAGGAGAGTGATGAGATCTTCCCACCTGAATTACAAGATGAATGTAGCAAGATAAGACACCGTATCATACTAACCCAGCCTGATATTCAAATCAACGACAGGCAGTATGGTTACCCGCGGAAACATCTGGATGCATGGAGGAAGCTGCTCAATCAGCATGTTGATGCGGGACGGCTACGCAAATCGACAAGTCCTTATGCATCACCCTCGATGATTATACCTAAGAAAGACCCGACGGCTCTTCCTCGTCTCATCTGCGACTACCGCACTCTGAACAAATATACCGTGAAGGATCGGGGACCCTTACCTAATCCGGATGAGGCGGTGAGACTGGTAGGAACGGGTAAGATTTACTCATCCTTGGATCAGATCAACGCATTCTTTCAAACAAGGATGGAAGAAAAAGACATACCGCTGACTGCCATCAAGACTCCGTGGGGACTGTACGAGTGGACGGTGATGCCTATGGGACTTACGAATGCGCCGGCGACACAACAAAGACGATGTGAGGAGGCTTTGGGGGATCTCGTCAACAAAGTATGTGTTGTTTATTTAGATGATATCGTGGTTTTTTCTCAGACGGTGGAAGAACACGAACACCACTTGCGTGAGGTGTTGAAACGCCTTCGAGCGGCACGACTCTACTGTGGCATCAAGAAAACCCAGCTTTTCCGCCGTCAGATCAAATTCTTAGGTCATGTGATTGGGGAAGACGGCATTAGTGCGGATGAGGATAAGGTAGAGAAAGTGACAAATTGGCGGTCTCCCAAAAATCCAAAACAGCTCAAAGAATTCTTGGGGACCGTGCAATGGATGAAAAAGTTTATTGAAGGGTTATCGAGATATGTTAGTACGTTGACACCGTTGACCAGTACCAAACGCAAACCAGAGGATTACAAGTGGACGGATAAAGAAGAAGATGCATTCAACAATATCAAACGCATGATCACAACGCTACCGGTTTTACGAAATTTGGATTACGACTCTGAGGAGCCAGTCTGGCTTTTTACTGACGCCAGTGGCCAAGGCCTGGGAGCGGCTTTATTTCAAGGTCGCGACTGGGAAACGGCGTCTCCAATCGCTTACGACGGAAGGACCATGACTGGCGCAGAACGCAATTACCCTGTACATGAGCAGGAGTTACTGGCTGTGGTTCACGCTCTTAATAAGTGGCGTCTTCTCTTATTAGGCTTGAAGATCAACGTGATGACCGACCATCATTCTCTGACGTATCTATTGAAGCAACGGAACCTCAGTCGCAGACAGGCACGGTGGTTAGAAATATTATCACAGTTCGATCTGGACTTCAAGTATCTACAGGGGGCAGACAATTCGGTCGCGGACGCATTGTCGCGAGTGGATACGGCAGCCCTTACTGATTCTCGACCTGCTTTAGACGCTGAAACTCTCCACGCTATTAGGGTAGGGTATGAGACAGATCCGTTTTGTATCAAGTTAGCCAAAGCGTTACCGCTGCGGGCGAATTGTAGATGGGAGGGTGGACTGATGCTGATAGATGACAGAGTTGTGGTCCCAGGGAATGGGGAACTGAGAAGTGGATTAGTGAAGTCTGCACATCAAGCGGTAGGCCATTTAGGAAATCTCAAGACTTACCATTGTTTGAAGGGGGAATTTTTCTGGCCTGGACTGTGTGATGATGTTGAGAGGTGGGTTAAGTGTTGTGACAAGTGTCAGAGGAACAAGGCGCGAACCACTCTCCTACCTGGACGAGCTCAAACTACGGACCTGCCGAAACGACCTATGAGCAGCATTGCGCTCGACTTCGTCGGGCCTTTTCCCAAAGTTTCAGGGTATGATATGCTTCTATCTTGCACATGCCGACTTACTGGGTTTGTGCGCCTGATACCGACGAATCAAAAGGACTCGGCGGAAAAGACAGCCCGTCGTCTTTACGGTTCGTGGTTATCGATCTTTGGAGCTCCGGATGATATGCTTGGTGACCGAGATAAGATATGGGTGTCTAAATTCTGGAAGGAACTTCATCGCTTATTGGGTATTAGTATCAACCTGACGACCGCATATCATCCTCAAGCTGACGGACGCTCTGAACGCACGAATATAACCTTGGGGAAAATCCTACGGTTCTCGACTCAGGGTCGTCAAGGACGGTGGTTGGAATCCTTGCCCTCGGTTGAATTCGCCATCAATTCGGCGGTGAATTCAGCAACTGGGGTTTCACCAATGTACTTTGTATTGGGTCATCAGCCACGCCTATTCCCAATCCCTTCTTTGAAGGAATGTAGCAGTCGGGATGTTGAGAAGTGGGTGATGTCTCGACAAGCTGATTGGGCTCGGTGCCGAGACAAACTTTGGGCTGCGCGAGTAGAACAAGCGGTGCAATACAACAAGAGGCGGGGAGGGGATTTGAGGTTAGAAGTGGGGGATCAGGTGTTAGTTGATAGTACACATCGTGTGGCACAAGTAGGGGGAAGGGTGGCGAAGTTGAGAGCGCGATTTGACGGCCCGTACAAGGTCCTGGAGGTTATCAATGGCGGGAGGGATGTCCGGTTACAACTTTCGGCCAACGATAAGTCTCACGACATCTTTCACGTTTCGAAGCTGAAGAGGTACCAGACGGACGAGACCGTGGATAACTGTTGAGCGGGGCGAAGGACTACCTTGTGCAAGTAAGTTCCTTCCTTAAGTATGCACCACCGCGGGGTTCTACCATCTCCCATTTTCGCAACAACACCTTGGCCACGCCTGTGAGCACATCTTCTTCGATATTGCTCTCTTTAGGACGTGACGCGGCGCGAGGCTTCAGTCTTCTTCGAATCAGTGACGGGTTATGGTTATGGATATGATTAGTTTTCTTTTTTTTTTTTCCTCTTTCTTTTCTTTACTGTTGAGGTTTACTTTCTCTTAAAATTTTTATTACTTTTAGTTTAATTTCTTTCTACTCTATTTTGGTTTCATTCTTTGATTTGTTTGGTGCAGTTTTGTCTTAGTGGAGGAAGTCTTTTGTGGTCTTTTGTTTTAGTTGGGGGGGGTGTAAGGGAAGAGTATGGAGTACGGACTAGTTACATATTGTGTATGGGTTTACAGAGTAGTTGTGTAGAACTTCTTATATAGAAGCTCCATCCTCTTTCCCTTTTGGGTTTTTCTCTTGAGGAACTCTTTCCTCCTTTTCTCTCTATTAGTTTCTTCTTATTGACTGTTTGGTGTTATAGGTATGACTTCCTCTTGGAGGAACTCTTTCCTCCTTTTCTCTCTATTAGTTTCTTCTTATTGACTGTTTGGTGTTATAGGCCTATTTTAGAAATCATACTCAGGTGTTACTTTTGACTGGCTTCGGCCTTGTGACTCACAAACTCAGTGAAGGTCACACCCAAGAGAGTGACCTTACACTTTTCAAGGTAATTTGATTCTTTCATCACAATCTCTTGATCCAATGACTTATCACAAATGGATTTTGATGTTCATTTCTCTCAGTTCATCGATCTCCTAGAGGATGATTACGACAATAAATTAACATTTGCACTTGAAGAAATTATTAGAATCCACTCAAAACATATCAAAAAGATCAAATGGAGAATTTCACGATTCGAGTCAATGCATATGTCGTGGATGCAAAACAAATAGGGGATACAAAGTTGAATCTGGCCATGCAGCCGGATCTCATCGAACTAGATATTGATGTTGATCCAAGACCTCTCGTTAGAAATCATGATTCAGAAAACCTTGAGAAGTGGCACAATCCCACTTCAACATCATCTGGACTTCTCGCGCCAAATGTGATGATCAAACCCATCTCTCAGCTTACTTCACTTACTCATCTTGCACTTCATTCTCGTCGTCAACAACTATCTTATACTGAAAGCTTCGTAGTAGACATCATCTCAAACCTTTCGCAACTTCAAACTTTATTCTGTTCAGGTATTTCTGCTACTTATCCAAAGCCTTTGAATGATCAACAGGATTTTCAATCTCCACTTGGACTACATCTTGCTAAACGTACTCAGCTTACGGGATTAGATTTGAAAAGAGTACAATGCATAGATTCTAGTTGGAATTTACTCAAATGGAATTGTCCATTAACAGAATTAACATTAGAAGACTGTGAAAGAGTTTCAATATCAGTTTTATATGAATTTTTAAATCAATTTCAATCCACTTTAACTTCCTTAATCATGGCTAAAGTACCTGCTAAAGTTCGTGGTATTCCTTTGGATTCTGAACTTCAATTTCAATTACCTAAATTAGAGAAAATAAATATGTCAAATCGTCTACCGATTCAATTCTTAAGATCATTTAAACCATGTCAAAACATTTCATCAATCTCTTTAGCTAGAACACCATCCTATCGACATGAAGATTTAAAACAATTAATTCAAGATCAACTTTGGACAAATTTAAACAAAATTCAAATCACACATTGTACAGTTGATCTTTCTTACTTCACTTTTGATTCATTAGAAGTTTTCGCTCAAACCCATGGGATTGAGTTGAGTATTGATAGAAATGCTCATGATTCTGATGATGAAGATGGGAGTGACAATGAACAAGAGAATGCAGAAGAGAATGCAGAGATGGAAGCTCAGTTGCATGTTGATTGGCTTATGTGGCAATATGAACATGCTAATGATGATCCATACGGTGAAGATTTCTAACTGACCTATGTAGCTTCCATCCTTTGCCTCTGAAGCCCACGGAGCAGGGTAGTTCTACTAGGTGCTGGGGTTGGCAAGACTTGTGTTGAGCTATTTTAAATTGAGGTGTTTTTTCTATGATATCTACAATGTCTACTTCTATGATATCTGCAATGTCTACTTCTATGATATCTGCAATGTCTACTTCTATGATATCTGCAATGTCTACTTCTTTGATGTCTGCAATGTCTACTTCTATGATGTCTGCAATTTCTACTTCTATGATGTCTGCAATTTCTACTTCTATGATGTCTGCAATTTCTACTTCTATGATGTCTGCAATTTCTACTTCTATGGTGTCTGCAATTTGTACTTCTACAGTGGGTCTCATCAAAGTGCAACTACCACTACCCCCCATAGGGGGGCTCGAAGTTTTGGATTTGGATGACTAGAGTCACTAGTGAGCGCAAATGGCCCAGTGGGGTATATACCTCACACCAGAGCGGTCACACTCAATGAGTGTGACATTGGTGAGACTTTTTCCACGGTTTGAGCCATGTGTTGAGTCTTTATTTTTTGGTCAAAAGGTCCCTTGGTCACATTGTAAACATGAGCTATCTCATGCTGAAGCTATTTGAATGCAAATGCTCAAATGCTTCAGCATTCACCTGTATTGTACATGTCCAACAGTGTCTTGTTGACCCTGTGAACATGACACTGTCATGTTTGAATTCACAAGTCTGAGGGTTCAATTGTGTTTCAGTCGGCCAGAAGAACCATAACCTTCTTGATCTCAATCTTTAATTTGAGATCCACTTTGTATTGACACAACTCCCGTGGCTTTCAGCAAAGCTCAAAAAGCTCAACAACAGCGCCAACTTACTGAACAAAATCACTGTGAAAGCACACCTTTGGATGATGAAAGCAAATCTGTGGGCACATCAGATGGTTGCCAGGATTCCCGCAGCAACAGTGACACAGACACCAAACTTGAAACTTGAAATCAAATATGTGAAGTTATGCAATGCCTTGACGCTAACATTGCTGACTCTTCAGATGAAGAGGCATGTGAAGACAATCTCAGCAAGCTGCTCTGGCCAGCCTAAAAGATTTTGACGACAATGACCTTTTAATAAGGTGAACACAAATAGGTTCAGCTTTATGTGTTGACGAGACACAGCTGAACAACTGATATACAAATAGAGCTTGACGCTCACGAACCTTTTAATAAGGTGAACACAAATAGGTTCAGCTTTATGTGTTGACAAGGCACAGCTGAACAACTGATATAAAAATAGAGCTCGACGCTCACGAACCTGACAAAGAAGAATGATAGACTTTAGAATATTTTCCTTGACCAGCAAAAATACAAACACACCTTTTAATAAGGTGAACACAAATAGGTTCAGCTTTATGTGTTGACGAGACACAGCTGAACAACTGATATAAAAATAGAGCTTGACGCTCACAAACCTGACGAAGAAGAATAATAGACTAAAAAGAAAAATATAACCAACAGACCACACCAACATTTTTTGAGACACACATTTAGTATAGATCGAATAATTTGATTAGAAAAAATAATACCCTACCTTTAGAATATTTTCCTCGACAAGAGGAAAAAGATTCTAAAGGTGAAGGATAGTCAGATATATATAAGAAAACACTTCAACATAATCACACACATCACGTCAACCATCATGAGAAAACAAAAAGAACAAAAAGAAACACAACAACTATCCCATTCATTGAAATCAGCTTTTCCGACCTCAAATTCAACTTTACTCTTCTTAGCTTTCACACCTTGTTGTATTCAACGTTCACTTCTACATTCTAGCTCCAGTCAACTTCCCTCACGTTATCTAGTGACCTTCTCACAAAATGGATCTTTTGAATCAGTAGTATAATTTGACAAACTCCTAACTTGTAAGTTCTTGACTGAAGTTGAAATAAACACAGCACACAAATACATTATTTCAACACAGCCTTCCGTCAACAGCACACATCTGAAGTCTTGGCTGGAAAGCGTGAGCATTTGTCAGGTTGCATCCTGGATGGCTACAAGAAGCTTATCATCAACACAAAGAACCCAAAGACACTGCCAGCATTAAAGAGGTTCCCCAACCTCTTCCCAAGGCCACTCTCAGTAACTATAGAGCAAATAAGACCAAACCTCTTGGAAAAAACAATCTCTGCATGGAACGGTGGATGCAAACTGCCCAATCAACAAGCAGACCTGCCACCAAAATCACCAATGATACCGGGCCAAGCACACCTTCTGCAACTCTTTATGACACTCAGCTGGAAGAAAAATTGATTGAAAACAAGGAAGATGTGATTGATTGTGAAAGACTAATTGAAAGTTCTGTAGATTCATACCGATCATCATGGAAAAAAACTTGCAGAAAAGACTTGAAACATGATTTAGATGAAAAGTTTAAAGAGCTAGATGATGCAATAAACTATGTAGCAGTAGAGTGCAGGAACAATTAAAAGAATAACCCACATTATAAGTACCCATCTCTTGAGCTTGATGAACTCTGAGAATTCAATACGCTTTGATACAAATTTGCCGTGGACAAAAGACAGACACCAGAAATCACTGCTTCAAGATTTGCTGCAAAGTCATCTGCGGCAATTACCAAGTTCAAAAAAGAATTGCTTCTTGCATAAGGCACAAGATGCTAGACACGTCCATGTAAAAGTAACGTCATGAGAAAGGAAAACCAGAAGGGGAGGATTCTCAAATAAGTCTTGAATCCGGATATGAAACTCATTACTTGCGTAGGGGAGATACCTGTAGCTCCGGTGATCCAGGTCACCAAGAAGTATGCCCGGATTCAGACCCCTCTCATCACCCCGTTTCCTACTTCCCTTCATCTTTGTCGCCTAGTTTTGTATCACTCAATCTTTCTCCTTGTTTCACTCAATCTTATTTTTACATTTGACCACATACTCTTATTATTACTACTTACAGTTAATTTTGGAACCGGCCCACCCTCCCTTCAAGCTCAAGATCACCTCAAGCACTTTACTTAATCGAGGGAACGGAAGAACAGCACACAGACAGAGAGGTTACCAAGAAACCTCTCTGCCAGCGGGAGAGATCTATCCGTAGAGGAGAGATCTCTCCTAAGAGTGTCTCTCTTGTTCCCCTGATCAGGCAGGAAGGCAGGAAGTCCCAGGAGAGGTCTCCTTGCCTTACCCTGCCTCACTCCCGCTGTACCACTTTACCGCACCTAGGCTTTACCTAGGCAAGGTAAGGTAATGAACCTATGATTGTAATGATAATATGTTATACAGTTTAATGGATCAAAGCTTCAGTAGTGGAGTTAGTCATGCTTTTTGCATACGCGCCCAAGCTAAGCACATTGTGAAACATGAAGTACTATTGCCATCAACCCCTGGGCTCAACACTGCTCATTCCTCAATGCTTGATAACAAATAAATGTTTAAAGCCCTTTACCAGTGGATAGTGGAACAAAAACCAGGCCAGGTTTGTCTCACTCTCTCTGATATTTCTCTGATTCTTGATTGATGAAAGTCACATCATTGATTGTCTGATGATATCTGGTTTGTATTTAGGTCACACGCCGTATCTTCTGTGATCATGTAAACAAACATGTTTTACATCACTTTGGCTTCAGTGGAAATATTGCATGATAAACTTCTTAACAATGGTTGTACAAACTCGGTCTTCAACCCCACAGTTACCAAAAGTCAATATATTTTGATGGCCATGAGCGACCAGATGCAGTTGAGTCTCAAAGAATATTCTGCAATGTGGTAGAAGAGTGTTGCAAAAGGCTGACTACCTTTGTTGGAGATAAGCTCAAGACTTTGATTCCACCCAATCCTGAATCCTGGGCAACAATTGAGAGACGGTCTTTGTGTATCACAACAAATCTACTGTGCACACAAATGAGCACCATCAAAAAGCTTGGATGCTCCCCGGCGTCACTGAGCTTCAAACCAAAAGCAATGGCCAACTCATACATATATCAGACTTCATTCTCAAGAGTCATGGACATCCAGAGATCAAGCCAAATGAAGCAGGTACCCTTCAAGAGCCAACCAATGCCGCTGTTGTAATTTACCCCGGTTCCAAGGGCAACCCATGGTGGGACATGATAAAGCTTTGTAATCAAATCAAGGAGCAAGCCATTCCAATCTTTGAACACTTGCATCCTCAATGTCAGGCTGTTTTTGTTTTTGACTGTTCTTCAGCTCATGGAGCTTATGGTCCAGAGGCTTTACAAGTTCAAAATATGAATCTCAACCCAGGAGGAAAACAAGGCCAACTACAAGACACAGTTATCCCATCAGACAATCCAAACATACCTGAACATCTACAAGGTTGTCCTCAGCAAATGGTGTTTCCTCCCAACTACCCTAATGCAGACCTCAGTGGTAAAGCTAAAGGCATGCAAACTGTCCTTGAAGAATGTGGGCTATGGAGCTTTCACAAATAAAGGAGCAAAAGCCTTGGAGAGACTGCTCTTGGCAAATTTTCAGCTTGCAAACAATTGGGATTGCACAAGGATGCTCAAAAGCGAGCAGTCCGTCTCATGCAAGAGGCTGAATCAAATGGTTGCTTGTTAACCGAGGATCAATGTTTACCTGAAGAGCTTAGAACAAACAAACCAGCTTCACCCAGCACACAGATTTCAGATTACTGCTGTGCATCAAAAATCCTCAGCCTTCAGTCCAACTTTGCCAACAAAAACCCGCTTTTACAAATGATCATTGAAGATGCTGGTCACATCTGTCTTTTTCTCCCAAAGTTCCATTGAAAATTAAAGCCAATTGAATTATTTTGGTCATTCATTGAGCATCGTAAGTCTACATTTGTACATTTTTCTGTTGGTTTCCTCTATACTGATTAACTCAATATTCATTTCAACAGTCTTCCGCAACGAGAGCATGAATGGCAGGACCTTTGATGAATCAAAGGATCTCTTTGAGTTGGCACAAAAAAGTTGCTTGCTAACAACCATCCAACAATACTTCCGCAAGATTGATTGCCAACGTTCTGCTTATTGGTAAGCAGTTTGATCTTCATTTACAATGCCTTGCAAAGGCTTATCTGTTTCACTTTTGTAGACAAGGATACACAGGTATTGAGGCTGAGAAACTTGTAAAGAAGTACAGATCTCATTGTACAATTCTTCAGGAGGCTGGGGTGAGGGGTGATGTGGTGTGTGGCTGAGCACTGAGCCAGGCTGGCCAAAGTAGGCTATAAACCCATAGTATGGGAGGTTAAAACCCATAATTTATACATGTATAAGCATATTTACATATAAACCTGTATGTAATCTATATGTAAATATGCTTGGTTCCAAATATTGGCCGCTCCGCCCAAAAAATTTTTTTTGCCCGCACAGCTCTGTCCTCATAGAATTAGATTAAGATAAGTTTTCTGAACCCATTACACTCAAAAAAATGTGA